AAGGGCTAGTTACTTCTTTTTTGATCAAATGACATTAGAAGATGCAGAAGATGCAGATTTGATCCATCCGCCTTTTTGTTACAAAAAATCTTGAGTTTAAATAAGATTCTTAACTCTCTCTTATCTTCGGTTATGATTTTAACATTTTCGGCCCATTTCATTTCATTGCGGGTAATTTTGTTTTTATTTTTATATTTTTAATTATCATTTACATAATAATATGTCAACACACAAGACTTGAAGTGTGAGGTCAATTAAACACGTTCAATTTTCGTGAGTGTCGTAACAAAGTATTGCTATAATTAAAAAACAATTATATCTATACCCGTGGAAGTATTAAGGGTGTAAATGTCAAGACTATTGCAATTTCTACCGTTTATATCCGTGAATGGGTCGGTATGATTACCGTCAAGTGCCTTGAGTTCAAGTTTATTTTATTACCACTATTAGTTACAAATGGTGAGCGGTGAGGTGTGAAAACGAGGGTGAAAGGATGACAGTGCAGTTTTAGGAGGAAAATTGCCGTGATATGTTATAGTATTTTCAACAGGAATTGTAGATGTAGGTAAGTATATGTACTTTTGATGCCTAGCATATAAAACGTTACTGTCGTTGTATAAATATGCTAGATTGGAAAAGGGGGTTTGTTATTATTATTTATCTCTTTGGCCGCCATTGTATGACATAGACGACAAAGAGAATATACTTAATTATGACGTTTTCTGGTCGATTATGCTCGACATTGGCGAAATAGTCAATTTTTCGTTTGTCGTTTATAGCCGACCATAACCTCCAAAGTAAAATAGCGACTAAAGTTTAAAGATAATCATTATTTATGAAAATAACGTTTATATTTTTTAATTTTGTCGTAATTATTATTCATTTATCTATTGAAGAAATATTTTGAAACATTACACAAGACATAAAATTGGACTCGACCCGTCACCAACAAAAACCATTATTGACATTCGTCGTAAGGTGTACCTTGAATGTATTTTATCGTATGTATGTGTAGTCTATATTATTTATGCTTTATCGGGAAATGGAAAATTGTGTTGAGTAGGAAATTCTATTTGATCGGGAATAGGGCGATATTGGAAAGCTCGTAGGCGTTCAATTGATTCGGAAATATTTTCTAACATTCTGTTTAAGATGGGAAATTCGTGTATTAGAGTTGTAGGAAAATAACTGATAAGCTTTCTCTTAAAAACTGGGATTGTTTTCTCAGTTCAAACGTACTTAACCTTTATTTTATAGAGTTATTATAAACTTTGATAAGATTTATCTCATCTCGATATCAGATTCTCGTGGAATTCATTAAAAATGATGTTTACGCGAAATTTTGAGATTATTTCGCGATTAAAGTGTTAAAGCGGAATTAAACGTTCTCTTATAAAAAAGTTAATATAGAAACAATTTACAAAACGAACAATTCGGATTATTTATTGGAAAAAGCTTAAAAATATTCGAGACGATAGACCGGTTCGGTGGTGACATTTTTAGGCATTCATTTTTTTACTGACATAGTAGTTATCGTAAATAAGTTTAGCCGCTTCAAATAACCCTGCATAGATTTTATTACCCTGTAAAAATCTATAGGTACTTTCAACTTCACTGACAAACTGCAGTCGACACTTCCACTTAAAACCCCATCACACAAATCAACCTGTCATTACCATGGCCACCATAAAGCACCCCTCTTGACGCCCATCGTAGTAAATTAAAAGCGATACTGGACAATTTCCTCCTTCAAAAGCTAATCTTTTCAAAATTCGATAGAGTATTTTTGCACTTTACAAAACGCCATTTTGGTGAAAACTTGTCAATGTGTGAATAATGGCAACACAAGCACAATTAAAATGTCAATAAAGAATTGTTCGGTTGGTTAGTGAAGACAGGCGCTAGTTCAAAAATGTAGAATCGTGTGGAGAAGAGCGATACAGAAACTGTAGTTACCCCACACTTGTATATTCTAGTGTGTCGTAGGTGCGTATGGAACATACAAATTCATAAGCACAAACCAGCAAGACCTGAAACAGCAATTTGTGGATCACACGTTGCACAGCAGCCAGTCGCCCAGCCACTACGCTTAATTTACCTGCTAAAGGTAATTTTTGACTGCACTATCAGTCCTTAAGGGAACTTGCTGAGATCAATCAGTAAATCTTCTATAATTAATTAGAACGTCAATGTTATGTGACGTATAGGAAGTAAAACAAAGGGATTTGGGTTAATGTTTACAAGGTACTTTCGTACCGTGACCTGTCAACATACCTTTTGTTAATAAAACTGCGTCATCGTAATAAAATTCTTAATGTTAACGAAATTGGGTCGAGATCAGTTCGTGTAACAATTTTGTGACACGCGATTTCGTTTGGTTAAAGTTCAGTAGAGGCGTGGCTGATATATAACGTATATGTATATATTTTAAATCGTGCGTGACATTGGCAGGTCATTGACATTTATAGTTGTTTTGTAAACGGAAGCTTTTTGTTCTGTGATAACAAAAATAGAGCAAATGTACCTAGTAGGTACTTCTTAATCACAATTACGATATCTTTACTTGGTATTAATATGACTAATGAATTCACATTAATTGCAGTGAGTTGTGTCCCCTATACTTCACTATATATTATGAAACAAAGTCGCCTTCTCTAACCACATATCCCTATGTATGCTAAAATCTTAAAAACTATTCAACGGATGTTGATGCGGTTTGTTTTAATAGAAAGCGTGATTAAGGAAAAAGGTTTATGTGTATAATACGTAGATCCGTGCGAAGCTGGGGCAGGTCGCTAGTATTTTTATAAATAAGTGCAGTAGATACGGTAACTTCTAATGATTTGAATGCGTTTTAAATAATTGATGTTAAAGTTTATTTGTATGAACAGAAAATCAGGATACAGCAGTAGAGAATTACACATTTTTTCTCTTCTCAAACATGACAAGATGGCATCATGCACATGCCAAAGGAATTGTAATCTATATCAGTGTAAATTAAGCTGATGACAAAGATTGTATGAATTAATTTCGACAATAACGTACACATATAAAACTGTACTTAACTAAATTTATTTGGAAGTTTAAACCTTAGTGGTTTTTTGGTTGCTATTTAACATAAATAATCCTGTAATATTTGTTGTATAAATGATGTTAAAAAGAGTCTCAGTGAGAGCCCAACACTGGGAGAGGACATGTTTCTTAAATTTTTGCAAAACAGTTTTGATTTGACTATAAATACACTTTTAGAGTTTAGATACTCTTCTTAGAGTGAAATTCTTTGCTTAAATGTTTTACAACGTTACAGAAGGGAGTAGGTACAAAAGTTTTAAAAGCCTCTATAAACATTAATATTCAAATGAAACAATTTCCCTGTAATTCAGAGTGGTTATAGTAAAAGTTTCGTCACTCGAATAATTTCTAAATGCCACGCCCTTGAAGAGTTTAATTAATATTATTAATTAAATTTAATATCGCGGAAATGGCGTGCTGAAGTTGTTTTAATTTTCATATTTGTTTATTTTCACTTTTACTTTAGAGGTTTATAATAGATTTTAAAGACAATTTATAATAATACTAGGGATCCAAAACGGCTTCGTACGTGTACATTGGTGACACTCAATTTTTCTACTATTTAATGGATGTTATTATGCATATAAACCTTCAAAATCCGTTGCGTAATTTTAAAGATTAAAGCATACATAGGGATAGGGACATATGGACAGATAAAGCTACTTTATTTTATACTCTGTCGTGATTTAAAATATGAACATTTCTTTTTCTAAAAATTTGGTCTTACCAGTCCATGGCCCTAACAACTTATATTTTGCTGCAGCACATTGGAGATGTCTCCGGCTTGTACAACGATCGACCTTGGCAATATGAACTACCAAAATCGATACCCAACACGTCAAACGTTACCATAATCGACTACGACTCGATTAAACTTATGGAAAATACCTACTTATATTAATTGCTTACATAATTTTATGTTACTTGTAAATTTTAATAATATTCTAGCATTTTTATAAAGTTTTATTGATTTGCGAAGCCAAAAGAAGTGTAGATAAAGTGATATTTGATTTCTCGATTGAGCATTTCTTATTATTATTTTTTGATAGTTCCCTCACCAGCATTTCTTAGTCTGAATCTAACCGAAATATCCCAGACAACTATTATGATTTATGCTTAAAGCAGGTACATTTGATCTCATGATAAAAAAAAATCCTTAAAGAAAAATACTTAGCAAAATATAAATTTTCAGAACAATGTGTGCGTAATATTTTTTCTAGTTCGGCTAAAAGACACTCAAATCAAAACGCGCATTACTTCATACATGATTAACCTAAACGTCAACACGAAACAGTACATTCCAATGTCAATCTTACTACTTTATATAAGAGTATGTTTTCCGTATTCATATGATAGTAACAGATGGGTACTAGGGTATCACAATAGATGTGAAGAACCTCTTATGTTTTGAAGGGTTCTGCTTATTACAGGGGGTGAAAGAGATGCAGGGTTAGCACGAGTCTAGAGCTCTTGAATGGTAAGTCAGTTGTAGCTATGCGGCAGGTTTTAGAGATGCCTTGATGGATTGCAACCTTTATAGAATGTCATCTCTTGATGAGTTGCTTTTGATGATAGTTACTGTTTGTTTTGAGATTCAATGGATTCTTGCTTTGCTGTATAGGAAATTGATTGTCACATAGTTTTTTAGAGAATGGTCATTTCGTATCAAAACCATACTGATTTCGAAGTCTGCTCCTCAATTTGTAGGCAAACCCTAAAACTACGTTTCTGAATTAAATATTCAGACCTAATGCAGTTTTAAATCACGCTAAGCTGTACCTTATCTACACCAGGTAGAAAACTATTCGACTTCAAACAATCGACGCAGCTTTTAAAGGACTATTTCTATACTATTTCCCCAAATCTACACATAGAACAAATTTAAGCAGTTTTTAAAGACACATAGAAAATAAGCTTGTTATACTAACATTGATTCTATTCTTGGCTCGCTCGATGGCCTTGGAGTCTTCTCTCTCGGGGCTCAGTCGACAGACCCTCGCTCTCCAATCGTTAGCACCCGCCGCTTGAAGAGCCGCCAGCCTGTAAATAAAGAAATTATAACATTATAAACAAAATACCATAAGAATATATGAAATTACTTTAAACTAAGAAAAGGTCTAGTTATACTACAGATTAAAACAACATTATACACCGGCAAAACCAACAGAGTTACAATTGCGCTTGCCAGCCTTTGGGAATTTCAAATATGGGGGAGAGGAGAATAGACCTTTGGTAACCTTACTCACACGATGAAATAAAACTCAATCATTGTTTCACGTCGATTTTCTGTTAGGCCGTGGTACGAATCTAAAGCTGAATATACATATTATCAAGTAATTTGACTCTTAAAGCGATAGAAATACGATCAAATATGGCTTAATTGTTAAAGATTAGGAGTATATAGTTATTAATACATAAATGAAGCGTATGAACAATAAAGTATTCAGAAAAGGTACACAGGATAATCCTACTTATTTGTGTACGAACATTAAAGGTGATTAACCTAGTGTGGTTGACCTTATTTCACGCAATCGGTGAGAGTGAATAGCAGAAATACATAGTATTGTAGGTTTTGTATGGCTTCTAAAAGGATATTATGGAATAAAATTGTATACATTTATGTTTCTAAATGGTCTTTGGTAAGTAAATTACAAAATAATTAGAACAAGTGCGAGATAGGATAGCAGTTTCTCCTATGATTTACCAGGTTTGTTAGTCTGTCTCTGTCTATCATATTCTGTTCGTTTCATAGCATGTTAGAATTAAGGGAAAAGTCCTCTAAAGACCCACATTCATTTTTTTACTGTTGCATCTCTCCCGCTGCTTTATTGCACTAAATCCCTCGATAAGACAATTCAATCCTTAAGACACACTTAATATGAGATCAGGCTGATATTCTAAATTCTGCACATCTCAAACCTATTTGTGAGCAAACCCATTAATATCCTTGATTCAAGATAACGCTAAAATATAAGATCAATTTGACAAAAAGTCACAAGTCAAAAATCATTTATTTCAATAAGTATATAATAATACGTAAAACAAAATTTAAAGAATATAAAGTGTCAATCTGTCGGTCAGACATTTTAATGAAGCTATTTGCTCGTTCCATAGTGTAGACACAAACAATTAAAACTATTAGATTAATTATTCAAATACAAAATGAGGTTTATCAAATAAACTTTTGTTTAATGGAATACGAGGCAAACGAGTAGTAGGATGACCTGATGGTAAGTAATCAGTCCATGGACACCTGCAACACCTGAGGAGTCGCAGGCACGTTGAAATTATTAGGAGAACGCTCGTTTCTTGAAAGTTTGAAGGCAAGTTATTCATTAACGGACACGGACGCAATCGATTATATTTAAGACAAGAATGGTCACTTAAATATAATATTTCAATCTCCGTTTACATACTGCTGTTAAGTATAAGAACATAGATAACAGATTCCCTGTACTTACTTAAACATTTAAATAATTATTGTCCTGGACCCAACGGTCGGTGACCTTTAGTCCTTTATCTAGAAGTCATTAACTTTAATTAGTCGGTAAGGACCTTGCGTTTACTTGCTAGTAAGTAAATAGTTTAGAATAATTACCATAATGTTACGCTATTTAGGTATAATTTTGGGGATCTTTTAACTTTTTCAACGAAAAAAAGGATAAGTCTCAAATTGTAATTGATTTGAGCAATTACACATAAAATTTTGTAATTTTTAGTTATGTTCATATATCTGGCATTTTATTTCTAAGTGAATTTACATAAGTCATTATCATCACTTTAGTATAGCTCGCGTTAGTTACTAATCAAATTTGGATAGTATATTACCTACAAACGAAATAAAAAATTACGTGGAAAATATAAGAGCCAAATTATATACTGCATCTCTTCAAATAAATGCATAAATATTACCGAGGGTGCATGTTTCGAACGCCGCTTATATTTGTTAAAAAATAATTTAAATCAATTTACATAATCGGTTATCGATGGAAGATTAATTGCTTTGCTAAGCATTCATTTTGTTGCTAAAGTTGTTATATTATACGTCAACTCGCAAAATAAATACATATTGTCCTTTAGAATTCCCAGTGATCGGGCCTCTTGATTGTAGAGGAAACTATTGAGTATGTATTATAAATAGTATAGGTATATACGTAGATAAGTGTGTATATGTTTATATTAAATTGTTACACGTAGCTTCGACTACACACCTAAATACAATGATTTTCTTTTTTATTTACAATGGGTTATTGGCCACCTATCCTGGTGAGTTGCTATGATGCAGCCAGCCTAAGCACGTCCCAAGCAGGTCTGCTAAGCCAACAATTAATTTAGGCCTTGATTAAAATTTTTAATTTCGGTTTAAATTGAAACCTAAGACATATATAGGTCGACTGGAAGAAAAAGCATTAAGACCGCCAGTACACTTTTTATGAACTTTAAGAAATAAATATATTATTATATTCAGTCATAAAAAATAATATCTCAACACAAACTTACGACAAATGTGTCACAAAGAATCTCAAATATATAAATATATGAATATCTCCTTGTCTTAATATGAAAGAAGGATAAACGAACATACAGACATACATGTCTAAAACCCCACTTATTAAGGTTCGAGTCTGGCAACCACCTATGTCTGTTACGACATAACTCAGTCCTAGCCATTGTTTTTTTTGTATTGTAGTACATTGATATATTTTGTTTTTATTTTTAGTTACCTTAACTATTTTCGATAGGTAGATTTACGTAACTTTCAGATACTGAATAATTTGATTGTATAAAAGAGTAACAATGTTTCTTGGTCGTTCTTTTCTATAGGAATCTACACTTTGGAATGAGCAAATATCTTCTCTAGACTGATCGACAGAGACGTCACTAATGAGCTTTTCACATTCCATATTTTTAACTTTAAAAAGGCTATAATTACTTCGATTTTGAGACTTAGACATTTGTGTTGATTTTTCATCTTTGCCGATTTCGTTCTCGAGGATATAAAGATAATAATAAAAGATATGAAGAGACTGAACCAAAGTTATGTATAACGTTACAACACCTTTTCCAATGCCATGAAAAAATATACACTAATTACCTGTGATAAATCTGGACTGGTCAGTCAATCATTTACCATTTTACCAAAGTGTACTAGACAGAAAAGTATTTAGTCGTACCTAGGGTCGTCCCTAATAGTTAATATCCTGCGTCCTAAGTAATATTTTAATCAAATCAACAACAGCCAACGCGCAGAAGGAAACGCAAATTGTGCAATAACTTGTTTAATTGGTATATTTATCCTGTTAATAGAACTACTATGTTTTGTTTGCTATTTTAGTGTGTTTGTTATAAGGATATATTTTCTAGGCGTGTTATATTTTTACTGTTTATATGCGTATCAATAGAGCCCGAAACTAAACGAAAGAAAACGTAGCCTATGCCAACACCAAGTTACTGATTAATTGAGCCATTTTTTTGTTAAAATGTTCAAGTTCTTAGAATGCGTGGAATTTTTACCTACAATATATTAAAATAAAGCCACACATAATGATAGCTTATCAAAATAGAACACCAAAGTAATTTTTTATTTCACTACAAACTTATTAAGGATTAAGAAGAATTGTCATTCGTTCACTTAATATACGTTCATACAGTTTTTTCAGTAGTTTACTAATAGCTGTTTTGTAAGAGGTAATTTTGAATATAGAACGAAATTTGTATGAACTCTACGTCACAAGTTTATCGGGAACTTTTATGGAGATGGTGAAAGACGTGTAATTAACGAAAGGACTTTACTATCCTAAGGTTGACTGCTAAGAATGTAATGTTATGTTGTATAAAAATAAAATAAATAAAGTTTTTATAACAACACTGGCTAATCTCGCGCGTTTCACCCGCTGCTCAGCTCCATTTAACCGTAGCGTGATGTTTTATAGCCTATAGGACTCGGGAACATTGTAGCTATCTATCAGTGAAAGAATTTTGGCAATCCGACCAGCGGTTTGAAAGATTACCCCTACATACAAACTTAAAAATTTTACCTCTTTATAATATTAGTATAGAAAACTCAATATATTCCCAACTATAGCTGGTATATTTAATATGTACACAATAATGTTATAACACGGAACAATAGATGTTATAACATAAACAAAGGGTTTATCTTCCACTTCTTGTATAGATAACCATTTTCCGTTTATAATAACTTATCCATTATCTATACTAATATTATAAAGAGGTAAAATTTGTAAGTTTGTATGTAGGGGTAATCTTTGGAACAGCTGGTCGGATTGCCAAAACTCTTTCACTGATAGATAGCTACAATGTTCCTGAGTGCTATAGGCTATAAAACATCACGCTACGACTAAATGGAGCCGAGCACCGAGTGAAACCGCGCGAGAGTAGCTAGAGTCTTATAAAGTAATTCTTCATATTGACAGCTTTTCTGTGAGGTCCCAATAAAGCCGGTACTCTTTTAAGTACAAATATTCAGGTAAGAAATATTGATTTTCGAAATATGAATTATCTACATGTTGCTTCTCAACTATATTCAGACAAATGATAGGTAGGCAGCTAACAATCGTGTTAGGCTAAGAACTCACGGAGCGATTTTCGCCCGCGTCCGCTGCGGTTGCGGGCCCGCAGCTTCTGTAGAATTCAAATATTTATATAAAAAATTAAAACACATTTCACGACGCGTTTTACGCCCGCGGTGTACGCGGTTGTATGCGGCTCCCGCTGTACCGGCGGGCAACTAGTAGAATCGCGCGGGCCGCGATTACCCGCAGCCTCGGCGGGTGGCAATCGCCCGTCTTGCAATCTTGCGATCATCGCCCGCCACGTTTGCGGGTGATGATCGCAGCCGCGGCGGCTGTGTAACCGCGCAAATAACCGGTCTCGTGAGTTTGGAAATAAAACCGCAGTTCCGCTACCGCGGCGGGCACGGTTCGAAATCGCTCCGTGAGTTCTTAGCCTCAGGCTAAGAAATCACGGAGCGATTTTCGCCCGCGTCCGCTGCGGTTGCGAGCCCGCAGCTTCTGTAGAATTCAAATATTCTAATAAAAAACTAAAGCATATTTCACGACGCGTTTTACGCCCGCGGTGTACGCGGTTGTATGCGGCTCCCGCTGTACCGGCGGGCAACTAGTAGAATCGCGCGGACCGCGGTTACCCGCAGCCTCGGCGGGTGGCACCCGCGCGCTTTGCGATCGTTTGGCGAACGACCGCGGGGGCCGGCGGATCTTCTGTGAAGTAAATATAACGCAACGGCTCGTTCCTGGTGTGTGTCCATGGCGGTCTGGACCTCAACTGATCGTTAACCGCCCGTCTTGCAATTTTGCGATCATCGCCCGCCACCTTTGCGGGCGATGATCGCAACCGCGGCGGCTGTGTAACCGCGCAAATAACTCGGTCTCGTGAGTTTGGAAATAAAACCGCAGTTCCGCTACCGCGGCGGGCACGGTTCAAAATCGCTCCGTGAGTTCTTAGCCTTAATCCCACTGAACACTTAGCTCGGGCTCATGCCATTGGATAGACAGAAATAAGAAGAGATATGACAGAGAGAAAATGTATGAAATAATAAAAGATACAATGTGACGTGAAGCACAGACAAACAAACAAACAAACAAACAAAAACATTATCTCATTAACCTTTCAATCGTAGTAATTCGATACACAATAGAAGAACAAAAGGTGAGCGAACGCCTGCTTTCGCTTGGGTATTGATGAATTAATATTGTAAATATATGTATAGTGAGGATGTATTACCTCTCGGCAATGGTGCCTCCTCCCTTATGCGGCATTTCGGCATGTGTGGCGCTGCGTTGCACACCGCCACCCACCCTGTAAATAAACATAAAACATTTATGAATAAATCAATAAAATTTACACTTTGATCAATTAAATATAGTAAATATAAAATGAGAGTGAAGGTTGATACAAGCTGGAATTAACACCGCTTCTTGATTACTAATCCAAACTAATATTATAAATGCGAAAGTAATTCTGTCTGTCTGTCTTTTCTTCACGCCTAAACTACTGAACTTATTTGTGTGAAATTCAGTAGGTACATAAAGTTTGAAACTCGAGAAAGACAAAGGATAGTTTTAAAACCAAAAATCTGCAGTAAGTCACTATTCCACGCGAACAAAGTCGCGGGCAAAAGCTAGTTTACAAATAAAACTACTATTTATAAATACGAAAACCACATTAACTTTCCTTAATACGATTTCAATTAAAACGAAATTTATGCTCAAAAATACAAACGATAACTCTCAAAGTACTCGATAAGTATATCCACTTCCTACAAAACACCCTTTAAATCGGAGCCCTTTTTAAAGCAAAAACGTCAAGAAACCAAACAGCAATACCTGGTCTTCTCAAACTTTTCTTTGAGAGACTTGAAGTTGAAAAGTCTCTCCTCGTATCGAACAGACAACATTTTGTAGATATTTTCACAATAATCACACAGACGGATAAAAACACACCAAATTTTCACATATTTATATAGGGTTTATGTATTTTATTTCACCAGTAAATAATTGTTTCGAAAAAGGGACAATTGTTCGTGTGAAGGGACGATGTCAGACTGACAGATCGAGTGTCGTTCTATGAACGCGTTCAGTTACAGATAACAACAGAGTATTTATTGTAATAATGGCGGCCTATATTATCCTCCTTGCTATACCCACTGTATAGATTTTAAGGTAAACAATGTGGTTAATTAATTAGTTTCCTATAGCAATAAGTTTAAAATGACAATACAATATATATACCCACTTATAATTAAATATTGTATCGAGAAACAAAACATATTTTGCAAACGAGCAGACTTATTACTAAACTCTCAGTACAGAACTGCAAAAGACTAAATGTTTCGAAAGAATGACTAAAATCTAAGATAAAATTCAAAAGAAAAACAAATAAATATGAAATACGGCACGTTAAATCTCCTATAAGAACTTTTCAGTCATTTATTCATCGAATATCTAATCTACATGCGATCGTAAATCGAAAACAACTGGACTATCACGACTGTAAGACTTATTTATCAGATTTCATCACAAAAGCAATTTTTCTTTTATCCATTTCCATATTTTATTACCACGTAATTCGATCATATATATTTTGCAGTGTTTTTAAAGCTATTTCTAACTGTAATGTTTGTTCAAGGCTCAGTAATAAAAAATAAAGTAAATATTGTTTGAAAACAAAGAAACGCTTGCATTCTTTACAACCCTTTAAGAAAATTAAAAGTAACATGTTTCAATATATCGATAGGGTTTAGAGTGTTCTATACCAGTTAAAGTTCTCACAACATAAAAGTACAATATCCAAGATAAAACTGTTTCACATAAAATAAAAAACCAAAGAATATTTAACCAGTTTAAACAAATAATACCTATTTATCTCACGCTACAAAACCATTAGCGCATTTTTGTCATCGATAAAACCCTAGTATAAATCCCATACATAAAACGACTGACTATTTGCTATAATACTCGTTTTCACATCGCTACAATTACACGATCAAAACGAATATATAAAAAAGTACCTGTACCTACACATTCTAATAAAGACATACTTTACGCATCAAAGTACAAAGCCCACCATGCATTCCGAATTACGGGAAAATAAATTTACAATTAATTGCCACTAGTTTCATAAAACGAAATTCAATTAACCAATATGTAGAACCAATCAAATCAGTTCTAAAATTATTGAGTAAAACATTAATTAAAGGTAATACAAACCGGTTGTTTGAACGTCTATTACGTGTTTAGCGTGAAATAAATACCACTTTCGCGTGTTGAAAGGCCACGTGCGCGCCCTACGCGATGCGACGCGCGACTGGGCGGGCGGGAGCTTCAGCCTTCAAAGCCTAAAGCTGTAACTATTGTAACTCGAATGACCAAAGTCTATGTTTTTAAAATAACTATCGTGAGACAGTCAGTCGTGGTGGCCCGGAGGTTAAGGAGCCCGCTTCCCTTGCATGAGGGTGCGGGTTCGAAACCTGGCAAGTACCAATGTGACTTTTTCCGAGTTATATGTACTTTCTTTGATTATTTAGACTCCACTGACATACGGTGAAGGTAAACATCGTGAGGAAACCTGGACTTATAATTTCTAATTATAAGTTTGAAATCGCCAACCCGCATTGAGCAAGCGTGGTGATTAATGCTCTAACCTTCTCCGTGTGAGAAGAGGCCTTTGCTAAGCAGTGGGCACTTATAGGCTGATGATGATGATGATGATGATGATCGTGAGACATACTAAATTAACTAAAAATCGCGGGTTACTCACGTGTATATACTGAGAAAACCTCTACTAATTTCGAACCAAAGAGGGGTTCTTCATCATGAGTAGCGCGCGCGGAAGCGGCAATATCGCGTAGCCTACTGGACCAAAATCTACACTAATATTATAAAGAGTTAAAATTTGTAATTTTTAAGTTTTTATGGTGGGGGTAATCTTAATAACCGCTGGTTGGGTTCGCATAATTATTTTCCTGATAGATAGCTAAAATTTCTGGAGTGCTATAGGCTATAAAACATAACGCTACGATTTATAGCAGCCGAGCAGCGAGTGAAACCGCGCGAGAGTGGCTTGTCGTGAATAAAGACCGCATTTTGTAATACACAAAAAAAAAAAACTTATTTGAAAAGATGATTGAATGTGGTATCTGATAGTCAAATATTCGATTACATTTCATTGGACAAAACTATTCATTGCTTAGATTTATTCTTTCAATATTTTCCAAGAGCAAATAACTCGAACGAATGGAAGCTATTTTACAGTCAGCCATACTACTCTTTCAATCGATCATGAGAGTCTATAAGCACAAAAAAGAACGAAACACTGCATTGCACAAAAAATGAACCAAAATGTGTAATGCAGTTGTAAAAAATGAACAATTATTTCGTTCGATGAATCAAGTCACTATTGATTCGAGTTTGAGTTTACCACTAGTACGGGTTAATGTTCGGAGTCAACGGGGTTTGGTGTAGACTGAAGGTATGGTAGTTAGACCACGCCGAGGTAGGTAGGCAGAGTAAGTTTACACTGTCTGTAGTCATTAACAAAATTGACGAGACGAGATTCGAAGCCTTTTACTTTAACCGTAGGATGTTTATTTTATGAAATCAAATGTGAGAGAGAACCATGCTTCGGCGCGAATGAGTCGGCTTGACTCGAGTGATACCACGGCCTCGCAGAAAATCGGCGTAAAATACAACAGCGTTCTGTTTCGCCGTGTGAGTGAATCCCTTCCCAATACCAAGATCTCAAAACTCTAATACCCAAAAGGACGGCAACGGGCGGCGTCGATTGCTTACCATCAGGAATTTACTCTGCTCGTTAGCCGTCTTATGGCACAAAATATCATTGTGTGATTTAGAAAAGAATTTTCTAGTAAGTAACCATTTTTTTTATTTTCACGTACATTTTTGTAGTCTAGAATTTCCGCCTACATAGCTCTACTGGCAACTAATTTTGCATATGAGTGGACCACTTAATTAAGTGTAATTTTTAGTGCTTCGCTTAAGGAAGTGCGATGCACTTTGTGTGCTGCGCAAATTAATTTGAACAGCCATGTATTATTCGATGGTATCGATTCCTTTAAACACGCCGTGGTAGCAAGTACTATTAGTGATGAGGATGAGTACCTACGTGAAATTTGCAGGTTTGTAAACACACTCAATACAAAGGAGAAAGGAGAATTTTTTATTAGTTTATATAAAAAAAAAAACCAGCAAAAGTTTTAGGACTTTTAAGTTATTATATATTGTGTATATTGTGCCCTCTCGCCTTAAATATGTCTTATAGTATACTTAAACACGTTTCAATTCATATGTTTGGGTGAAACTAAAACCAAATCGACTTTAAAGCCTTAACAACAAATAATTACAGACAATAATTTTAAATATCGAAATGCAGTATTTCGATACAGTGCAGAGCGCAGGACTAACAAGACGGGAATGCGTGGCAAAGGATATTAACATCGAAACTTTGTCTACCGGGTGTACGGCTGCTATTGTGGAATAAACAAAAGCTTGACGACGCTCATTACCAGTACTTGGTACCATCATTATACATAACCAGTCAAATGCATATGTAAATATATTCGTTGGTAAAAAAAGGAACATTCTTATGGAAATGTGAATATTTAAGTTGAATGAATACTTTTTACGAGCTTTTGACAATGACTATAAGTATAGACTTATATCAGCCGGGATAGGCCTAGAGCAGCAGAAGGAACGGGGGTATTTTTAGTCAGTAAGAGTCTGACACTCCCTTTCATGTTACCCTGGGCGAGAGAAGTCATTAGATGATTTTCCTTTTTGTTTTTTTTATTTATTACACAATAAACTTAGGTTTATTATATTATAGACTTACGTAGGTTGTGTTAAGGGCAATAATTGTGTGCAATGTCTATTCAATCGATCCACAGCACGCAAATAATAAACTATTAGGCCGGCCACACAAACAAAACGCAAATCCAAACGATTCACCATTCGAAATCTACTAAGTAATTCATCATGGCATAACGACAAACTGAATGGTATTCTATCGACATAATAAATAACCAGACTAGAGTCTATAGGCGAGCTATCAATTTCCTGACGTGAGTTTCCCATAGACGCAATACCCACACTAGTGCACAACGTTGCAATGGGGGTAAGTACAGTCAGCTCCAAAAGTCGATGAACAGAATCAACTTTCCAAAACACCTGTTCACAATAAAATGCCATAAGTTATAGTCACAACTAGGAAACAAAATAGCCTGTACATCAGTAATTTACAAAAGTCGTTAAACACGACTTATTCAAAAGTATCTGTGCACT